ATAACCTATATATATATAAACTATATAAAGTAAATTACTTATATAGTTTATAGAAACACTATGCATAAACTATATAAAATAATAAATTATATAGTTTATAAAAACCCTAAACCCTAAATATTAAACCCTAATATAAATGACTAGCACTAATGCATATATATTTGTAATAAAAGAGTGGGCTTATGCATTGAGTCCATGTAAACTAATGTAAATGGACTTATTTTTGGGTTTTATTATTACTTATTCATAACAAAAAAATAAATGGACTATTAATGTGAATTAACTTAACATCCAACTAAAATACTAATTATGCAAATGAAATTAATATTACATGTACTACTATTTATGAACCATATAATATGCAATGTGACATATTAATTATTTAACACCTAATTAATCATGTTTTATATAATTTACATTTAAATAATTTAAATAATTTTATTAATTTTATTAAATAATTTTATATAATATGTCTATTTATTAATTTAATTATCATAATAAATATTGATTATAACATTTAAAAAGTAATTATATTAATTTTTTAATTAAATCTTAAACTAAAAAACTCATAATTTTATTAAAATCTTATAATTTTGTCCATGGTAATATATAAGTCAGGTAAATATCAGATCAGTTCATTAACAAGTCGGATCATTTACACGTCAGGTTAAAAGAAGGTCAGGTTCATCACAGGTAAGGTTGAAAACAAGTCGGATAATACCAGTTATTTACCAGTCCAATCTCGGGTTCATGTTTATATCAGCCAGATGCAGTTCGGGTTTGAGTATCATATTTTCGATTCAATTCGGATTCAGGTCATTCTCAGGTCGGATGCAGGTCAGGTTTAGATCCACAATTTCCAGGTCCAACTCGGGTTCAGGTCAACACCAATTCTGACTCGAATCGGTTTCGGATCACCATAGCGCATGTCAAAAATAGTTTTAACTCGAGTCGGTTTCAGTCAGTTTTACAGGTCGGGTCGACTTTTTACACCCCTAGGTTTAGTAAAGATTAGAGTCGGCCCAAGTGAAGTCACCGGCCCATGTTAAAAGAATTCGGTAGAAAAAAAATCTGACTTTTTATTTAATAAATAAAGAATGTAAAATATTTCCTTTCCATATATAGGGTATCATTTTCTATTAAAACGGTAAAAGAAAAAAAAGAATTCCAGGAATATATGCATTACATAGAAAAACCTCAGAGCCCTCGATAGAGTTGATACGATGGCGAGACGATTCGACGATGAAGAAGGCGATGACGTTGAAGAGGAAGAATATGAAGACGAGGAAGAACAGTTATTGGAAGACGAGGATTACGACGTCGACGAAGATGTAGGGAGAGGCCGTGGAGGTTCGAGTAAGAAGCGCGGTAGATCTGATTTCATCGATGACTTGGCCGACGATGACGATGAAGACGATGACGATGAGGTTTATGGCGGTGGTGGTGGCCGCGGGAAACGACACAAGGCTCCTCGTGATGGGTCTCAGTTTTTTGACCTCGAAGCACAGGTTGATAGCGACGAAGAAGAGGAAGAGGATGAAGGGGAAGATGGTAATTTCCTCTGCCTTACTTCTGTTTTAGTTATGGTTGGGTAATTCTAATAGTAGGGAGTGGAATTGGTAATGGCATGGAATAGGGAAAAAACTGATAATTAATTTTCTTTAATAGATGATATGTTGGGATAAATCAAAATCGATTTCTACTTGGAAATTAGTTTTGTTTCAAAGCTGACGCAGGTTCAATATAGTATTTTTTTGGAGGTTGCAATTATATACCGTTTAATGAAAATCTCTTTTAACTTGATCCTGATGCTAGCATCGCGTAAGCTTTTGAAAATGAAGATTGAGGTAGCTTTTTTCCGTTCCTTCCCCTCAAACATGTCATAGTTTGCATTCCAGTTATGTAATTGACATTTATGCAGTAACTGCTCGCAAATTTGGGATCGTTTTTTGGAAAATGTTGATTGAATGTTGCTAAGTATTAAATCTATCAAAGTGAAAATTGTTATTGATGACATATAATGATGTAGCATTAGTTTCTGATATTGTAATGGTTTTGAATGTCAATAAACGTTTGCATTTTCGTTTGATGTGTTTGATTTTCTTTCTCTGAGTTTTTTTATCAGAAAGGAATTTTGTCTCACTTTTGAAATTTCTTGAAATGTTTATGTACCTGCAAATTTTGTTTAAATAAAGGGATTCCTTTTAGTTGGAGCCATTGCATTTTCAAACAACAGGAGTAACATTATTTTCTACCGTTACAATTATTTGATTCTTAACTAGTTCCAATCTTGAACTTTATTTAAATTTTCCCACTAGAAACTCCCCTCCATTACATTGAACTACAGTTATTTGTATGACTAATGCAAATTTTCTATCTAAATTTATTAAAATCTCAACTAGCTTCTAGTTTTCCTACTATTTTCCATTCCAAAATTCTGTGCAAAATTCCTCCTCCATGACATTGAACTAACAATTACTTGTATGCTAGACATGTCAGAAAAAGTTCATTCTGCATAGTTCTTGATTCACTTTTGTGTTACAGTTCTTTAGCATACTAGCATTTATACCTGCTTTGGTATACTTTGCATCTGACCTCTAAACAACTAAGAATTTCTCGTTAAATTAATTTACTTGATCTGAAATTTTAGGTGAACCCCTCTGTTTCAAAGTTCATCTTAGTCCTTTTAAGCTCCATAGTTTTTTGTGCATCTTTGGTTTCCATATTTATCAAATTTGCCTAAATCTATAGTTTTGTAGTTCATGCTGTAGCGATAGTTGAATAAAAATGATATGTTGAAACTGTGTGTGAATCTCATGGCTGGTATCTCAAAAGACTAAGGATATCCAAATATGATGATCTCTTTTCAATCTTTTAGCAAGCTTCATAGTTGCTAACCTTTATGGTATTTTCCCTAGCAAGCTATTTCACTTATAACTAGTGTGGAATGTTTTGATGGATATATGAGTATAGTGATCTTTGTTCAATCTTCTATTCATGCAGGCTTCATAGTTGAAAGTGGAGCTGATATACCTGATGAAGACATTGGTAGAAGGATGCATCGTCGCCCATTACCTCTTCGGGAGGATGAACAAGAAGACGTTGAAGCTCTTGAGAGAAGCATTCAAGCTAGGTATGCAAGATCAAGTCATGCAGAATATGATGAGGAGACCACTGATGTGGAACAGCAAGCACTTTTGCCATCAGTAAGAGATCCAAAGTTATGGATGGTGAAATGTGCAGTATGTATCGATTTCTTCATCACCTTTTTTGGAATATCATTTTTGGGTAGAAATGGTTTATGATTATTTGGACATTTTGCATGCAAGTTAACTAAGGTCGTGTTTATTAATGATAGATTGGTCGTGAACGAGAGACAGCAGTTTGCCTCATGCAGAAATACATTGATAGAGGATCTGATTTGCAAATCAGGTCTGTTATTGCCCTTGATCACCTGAAAAATTATATTTATATCGAAGCGGACAAGGAAGCTCATGTGAGGGAGGTATGTGATAATTACTGCTTTTGTCTTATTTTTATGAGTGGCTTAGCTTTAGATATCCGTTGATCAATTCTGAACTGCCTCAGGCTATCAAGGTCAACGCAATATTTTCGGTGCAAAGATTATGCTTGTTCCAATAAGGGAAATGACTGATGTTTTATCAGTTGAAAGCAAAGGAGTAGATCTTTCAAGAGATACCTGGGTTAGAATGAAGATTGGGACATATAAGGGTGATCTTGCTCAAGTACGTTTTTTTTTTCTTGCTATTTCAAGGAATTATTCTCTTACAGAATTTATCTCTGATCTTCTCATTTCCACTTTGCAGGTTGTTGACGTGGATGACATACGACAAAGAGTCACTGTGAAACTGATCCCTAGGATTGACTTACAAGCCCTTGCAAATAAATTGGTATGAAATGTATTTCATTTATGTAAAAACTGATTTATTACTAACTGTTTATCTCTATTTTCTGGTTCTGTTGTGCTTGGTTTACCCTTCTATTTTATACAGGAAGGAAGAGAAGTTCCAAAGAAGAAGGCTTTTGTCCCTCCTCCTCGTTTAATGAATGTTGATGAAGCTAGGTAGTCTCAAATGATTTCAATCTCTGGTGGGAAATCTACCAGCTTTTTATTGCTTCATAATAATTTAATTCATGATCCTCAATATTCTTTTTTCTTTGTTCCTTTTTCCCCTAGGGAACTTCATATTCGTGTAGAGCACAGGCGAGATCCGCTGACTGGTGATTACTTTGACTATATTGGTGCCATGATGTTCAAACATGGGTTCTTGTACAAAACAGTGTCAATGAAGTCAATTAGTGCTCAGAACATAAAACCAACTTTTGATGAACTTGAAAAATTTCGGACACCTAGTGTGAAAGGAGAAGCTGAAATGGCTGGTTTGTCAACTTTGTTTGCCAATAGGAAGAAAGGCCATTTCATGAAGGGTGATGCTGTTATTGTTGTCAAGGGAGATCTGAAAAGTTTAAAAGGATGGGTTGAAAAGGTTGAGGAAGAGAATGTCCACATCAGACCAGAAATGAAAGGTCTTCCTGTAAGAATTCTGTTGATATTGGTGTTCTCTGAATCAAGTCTTTGATCACTGGTTTACATGTAAGTTCCCTTGTCCCCAGGACATAATTAGGCTTTGGTGATGTTTGCAGAAAACTCTCGCTGTTAATGAAAAAGAGCTTTGTAAGTACTTTGAGCCTGGGAATCATGTGAAGGTTGTGGCTGGGACAAAGGAAGGTGCAACTGGTATGGTTGTCAAGGTTGAGCAGCATGTGCTCATCATTTTATCTGATACAACCAAAGAACATGTGAGTCATGCAACTTTGAGTCTGGTTCTGGTCCTAATCTGAGGGTTATCTTAGTGGAAAACAAAATGACATTTGTTTTATCAGATTCGTGTTTTTGCTGATGACGTTGTTGAGAGCTCTGAAGTAACTACTGGTGTTACACAAATTGGGGAGTATGAGCTTCGTGATCTTGTGCTACTAGAGTAAGTAGTTTCTTGCTGAAGAATTTGATTTACCATCTTCGTAGTTTCTTGCTGAAGAATTTGATTTACCATCTTCTGTTAACATGGGTGCCTGACATATGTGTTCCTGTGGTGCAGTAACAATAGCTTTGGTGTAATTATACGTGTAGAAAGGGAAGCATTTCAGGTTAACTGATCTCCTACCAAATGGGATTATTTTGGCGCATATCGTTTGATTATAATCTTAGTCTTTTATTTTCCTTCAGGTTCTTAAGGGGGTTCCAGAGAGACCAGAGGTATCTCTGGTCAAATTAAGGGAAATCAAATGCAAGCTTGAGAAGAAATTTGATGTACAAGACAAATATAGGAACACAGTTTCTGTGAAAGATGTGGTTAGGGTCCTTGAGGGTTCTTGTAAAGTAAGATTCTCATTCCAATTTGGATTGTCCCATAAATTACTCTGTGGGTTTATAGTTTACAAACTGTCCTATCCCATCCCATCATATTAGGGGAAACAAGGTCCTGTAGAGCATATATACAAAGGAATCTTGTTTGTGTATGACCGTCACCACCTCGAGCATGCTGGCTTTATATGTGCTAAAGCTGGTTCTTGCTGTGTAGTGGGAGGATCACGTTCCAATGGGGACAGAAATGTAAGTATTTTTTCCCTTTTGTTTTTGTGGATAATTAATGTATGATTTACATCATCCTCACGCATGCTTGATTCAATCCCTTAGGGTGATTCTTTCTCAAGATTTGGCAGCTTCAAGACTCCACCCCGCGTACCACCTTCACCAAGGAGATTTTCTCGGGGAGGTCCTCCATTTGATTGTATGTTGCTGATGGTCTTTAGTATCCTTGGTTGTACAAATTTAGTGGTTATCGAGTTTCATTGAGTTATATTTTGTCAAGGTTAAGTTGTAAAATTTCATTAGAAGGCTGATGTTATTGACATCTGCCTCTTTTTTTGAAACAGCTGGAGGAAGGCACAGGGGTGGAAGAGGAGGGCATGATGCTTTGGTTGGTACTACTGTGAAGATTCGACAGGGCCCTTACAAGGGTTACCGTGGACGTGTTGTAGATATTAAAGGTCCATCAGTTCGAGTTGAGTTGGAGTCTCAAATGAAGGTTGTTACAGGCAAGTTCAGGTTTTATTTTTAAATGTTTTCTACTTCATTTTAGTATCTTTCTGGCTTATACAACCTCTTCCTTTCTGCAGTTGATCGCAATTTTGTATCTGATAATGTTGTTGTTTCAACACCCCCCCACCGGTAAGTATGATTTTCTTTGAAATTCCTCCTATTGTTTTTTACCATGAAAATCCTCTTTCTATATTTCTCTGGTGTTGTGTTAATTTTTGTTTCATTAGTGATACATCCCGATATGGTATGGGAAGTGAAACACCTATGCGTTCTTCACGAACTCCATTGCATCCATACATGACTCCTATGAGAGATCCTGGAGGTACTTTTTTTGCGTGTCATGCGCTTTAGATGTGGAGACTTCCTTTATGGCTGATAACTTTATTTACTATAATAATTATTTAGATAGTTTTATGTTCTCTGCAGCAACGCCTATCCATGATGGCATGAGAACACCCATGCGTGACAGGGCCTGGAATCCTTATGCACCAATGAGCCCACCCAGGTTAATAGTAGATTCCATTAATCTGGTGTATCCCACATCAATTGTTATTTCATATCTTGATTTGACTGATTGTTTTGTTATCTTGACTGCAAAATAGGGATAATTGGGAAGAAGGAAACCCTGCCTCTTGGGGAACTAGTCCACAGTATCAGGTCAGGATTCTTGCACAATTGGGTGCTATTACAAATGTAGCTATTTTTTCATACTGTATTTATTCTGTTTTTTCATAAAATAACTGTAAATGCTGTTCTTTTCAGCCAGGAAGTCCTTCAAGGGCATATGAAGCACCTACTCCCGGTTCAGGTTGGGCTAGCACTCCTGGCGGTAGTTACAGTGAGGCTGGAACACCAAGAGATAGTGGTTCAGCTTATGGTTGTTTTTTATCCTACTTTTGCTATTTTAATATTTGCATTTTGTGTTGCTCATTATATGTTTGTTGCAGCCAATGCTCCAAGTCCTTATATGCCGTCAACTCCAAGCGGTCAGCCTATGACACCAAGCTCAGGACCCTATATTCCGGGTACACCTGGAGGGCAGCCAATGACACCAGGAACTGGCCTTGATGCTATGTCTCCCGTAATAGGTGCTATTTCTGTCCCTTCACCATGTTTTAAGAAAACAATACAATCTTTAATTGCCTCATTGGCTTGTGGATATTTTATGGGATTCAAGTTCCTCATATTATTAACATTAATTCTATAGAAAAATTGTGAGCTGGCCAAGTCTGAAGTTTATCTGAATTTATTTCCTCCATCACAGTTTTAAATGTTTTAGAAAATAAAAGCAAAGCAAACCTTAATTATGATTTCAAAATAACATGCGTACTTTTGCAGGTCCTGAGAGTGAAGGACCATGGTTCATGCCAGATATTTTGGTCAATGTGCACAAATCTGGAGATGAGACTCATGGAGTTATCCAGGAGGTTCTTCCGGTATGTCTTCCATCAATATTTTGTTGCTATTTTCTCTTTTTTCTTCTTTTAAGCATTCATGTCTGATGTAGGGGTGCTTATCGAGCAAGTCGAACACGAGTTGGGCAGTGCTAGACTCATGCTCGTTAAAAAAAATTTGTTGCTCAACTCGACTTGTTCATTAGGCTAGTTAAAATTTTGGTCGACTCGTGCTTGTTAAAAGAAATTGTTGCTCAACTCGTGCTCGTTAAGCTCGTTGCTCGTCTCGTTGCTTCTAACCAAAATTTTTGTCTTATTTTTTATCTATAGGTAAAATCTACTAATATTATATAAAGCTTAATATAAACATAAATTAATAATTTAACCAAAAAAATTATCAAAAGAGTATGGAACAAATTGAAAGCCTAAACTCCAAAATAACAATATACAAATACATTAAAATAATAGTTAGGGTTTATTTTTTGTAGTAGTAAACTAATAATTTAGTATTTTTATTATTTATTAGAAAAATAATAGATTAATCATTTATCATTTTGAATAAAATAATTTTTTAAGATAACTACTTAAAAATTATAAAAAAAATTAACGAGTTGCTCACGAACTTATCGAGTCGAGTTGGAGTTTGTTTGACTCAGCTCGTTAATTTCTCGAGTCGAGTTCGAGTTGAGTCAATTCAAGTCGAGCTTTTATCGAGTTTTGACCTACTCAAGTTTAAGCTGCTCAACTCATTAAGCACCCCTAGTTTGATGCATATCCAAACATGGGTATTTGGATATGACACTTCAAAGATTCTCCAAGTACATGGAAAACTTAGGAAGAAAAAATCGAATATGCTTGTGGGTGAACACATATCCATGTTGATATACTATAGTCAAACGTCACATTGTTACTGAGAATTGAAATAGTCTTAATCGATAATCGTCTTAATGATTATTGTGTCAAGTTGATATATGGTGCAAAGGTGCACACTTATCCATAGGTTTCATGAAATATTTGCATTTCAGACCACTCCCCGGTGTTCTAAACATTTTATATTGGTATGGCCTGAAAATATTAGCTATCATATTTAGGTCGAACTATTGGAAGGAATTTACTTTTGGTGAAGCATTTTTAGCAGTAAAATGATCAGTTTGTATGACACTTGATGATCCATGATGCAGGATGGTTCTTGTAAGGTGGCTCTCGGGTCAAGTGGCAGCAGTGATGCAATAATTGCCTTGCCAAGTGAGATGGAAATTGTACCACCAAAGAAATCGGACAAGATCAAAATCATGGGTGGGTCACTACGCGGTCTTACTGGCAAGTTAATCGGTGTAGATGGCACGGATGGCATCGTAAGGATAGATGACAGTCTTGATGTCAAGATATTGGACTTAGTTATACTAGCTAAATTACTTTGATTAAGAAATAAAGTGTTGAGTGGGTTTTGAGTAAATTTTGTTTGGAATTCATGCTGTCGTAGCTTTTCTCCATCTTTGTACGTGCATATAGAAAAGCTTTCATGTCTGATGTTCCTCTGGTCCCAAACAAAGATGGTGAACATTGACTCTACTGAATACATCATGCATCACTCGGAAATGGAGTTGCGTCACCTGCAGTCTGGTCTCCTTTTCCTTTTTTTTTTTTTTTTGGCTCGATTGACCCAAAATCAATATGCACAAAATTGCTACAAAGTCGGTGTAAACTAGTAAGTGTTCTAAGTCGTCATCAACCTTAGGTTTTTTACCAGGGAGGCCATACTGTAGCAAAATTCCCCAAGGAATGCACCATGAAACCTGCTTGTGGAACGACGGAAAGATCATTGAATGTAAGGTGGCTTTGAATCTCGCAAACCTTAAGGGGTGGGTTATCATGTCTCGTCCAGCTGTTCAGAGGGTGGTAAAATAGAAGGTGCTTGGAGAAAGCAAACCCACCAGAGGTTGAAGCTAGTAAAAAATTGAAACGAGCAGCAAAACAACGGGGAAGAGAGTTTGTGAGAACTGTATGGCTTTGAATCTCAAGTTTTTAAATAGGACGGTTGTCTAATAGCAGCAAAACCGTTCTTTGATTTTTGTTCAATCTGAAAGATCGCCCGGGAAATTCATAATAAAAATATGTTAATCGTGAAGTGCAAAACGAACAATGCAGTAAAACCAGATTTTTTTTCTCCAATTAAATGATAAATAACAATGAAAGCTTGAAGAGTTAGATGACTAAACCAGATTTTCCATTTATATTACCATTATATATAGTCATTAAATTTAATTAAATAAATAAATGGTTTAGATTTAATTAAAATTTATAACTCATAAATAAATATCTTTTAAGTCACAATAAAACAATATCTCCTTTTACCTCAATCTCAAATCCTAAATCTTAAATCCTAAACCTTAAGCCATAAAATATTAAGCCCTAAAACTCCTACTCTAAACTCCAAATCACAAATCTCAAACCCTAAAGCTTATTTTATAAACTTTAAACCCTAAACCGTAATCCTAAAATATATTGTTTTAACATGTGTTAAAATATTTATTTATGGGTCATAAATTTTAATTAAATCTAAGCCGTTTATTTATTTAAATCTAATGGTTATGAATTAGTGTAAAATTTATTAGTTTACGTAGTATGAACCGATCCTAACACAAATATGGTGTTGTAAGAGAGCTGGAGGTGAGACATGATAGACATGATGCTGCATTACAAAGTGGGCGTGAGGAACTTGTTTAGCCAATCTATCCGCAGGATGGTTTGCTTCCGGGAATCCAGATGAAATCAATTATCCATGCTTGTTGCTAGAGTCTTGAGATAGCACGAACTAGTGGCAAGTGGCTATCGAGGCTTTGGGAGATATTGATGATCGAGATGGCTTTGGAGCTATTTGATTGAACCTATAGATATTCAAATCCGAGTCGCCAAGCAATACACAATCCTTCATAGATGGCCAGAGTTCGGCTTGGTGAACATCATCATAACCAATAGCACGACCAAAGCCATATGAATCCATTAAACCGAGCTGTCTCTATAAAGGCCACCAATTGTAGCTTTACCTGAAGAACGACAGACAGCCCCATCTGTATTAAGGGCGATCTACTGGAAAGGAGGAGGATTCCATTGAACGAGAGAGTTCTTGTTAGCCACAGAGGTCTGCTGAGTGGGATGACATTGATACGTCATCTAGTGCTTCGACCAAGTAATGCTTTGGCTGATCATGAATTGGGGCGAATTGTTGCTGCCATGAAAAACAAGTTGGTTGCGTGATTTCAAAATATTCTAGACAATAGATGAAAAGAATATATTCCAAGAAGCATGAGCTTGTTGAGAGTTAGCCATAGATTTTATGTTCCTCCAAAGCCAATCCTTGAGATCCAATCTGAAGAATTCTGAATGAAGAGAGCTAAGCAAGAGAGAATTCCAAATATTTCGTGGCAAGCAGCAGTCTCGAAGAACATGAAGCACCGACTCACTCACATTATTGCAAAGCGGGCAAGTAGGTGAGGTAGATAATGATCTTCGTTATCGCTCAAGGTTGTTCATCGATTTTTCCAAGATAGCAAGCCAAATGAAGAGGTGGATTCGCTGCGGAACATGAAAATTTCAAATCAGAGTTCAATCCGAACAACTTTGATCCTGGTGCGAAATCATAAGAGATCGATAGCCCTCGTTAATAGTGAAATGATCGCTCCATCTCCAACAACAAGAATCATCAGTGTCATTGTTCCTTGGGCAATCAATGCTAGCAATGTGATTGACAATATCCGGCCGAAATAAGGTGGTAATCCCATGCACGTACCAGTAACTGTCATAAGGTCTTCAAAATTTGAGTGATGAGTCATTTGAGACAGATCAAGAATATGATCTCTTAATGGTCCAACACGAGGGACCCAGACATCGTCCCAAATATTAATTAGTGTTCCGTTTCCAATAGACCATGTCATATTAGGCTTAAATTCCTCCCAAAAATTAGTCAGGGATCGCCAAAGAGATGAACAAGAGGCCCGCCGAATTGAAGTTGGGAGATGGTCGAAAATGTAATATTTCTCTCTAAGGAGTTTGATCCAAAGAGTGTTGCTTGGTAACCAAAGCGATCCCAATTTTCATAAGGAAAGCTTTGTTATAATCATAAGTTTGAAGGGTACCCAATCCTCCTCAGTCGATGGGTTGACAAACCTTGTTCCTGTTAACAACAAGGGATATTTTGGGGGAAGATGGGGAAGAGCCCCAAATGAAATTCCTGATAATCTTCTCAATGTCGTTACAAACCTTTTTCGGAAGGAGATTGGTTTGCATAAAATACGTGAGAATAGCTTCCAAAATTGATTTTGCGAGAGACAAAGTTTGGGCGGCCCAGCCCGAAAGGCGAGCACGCATCTTATCAAGAATGAAGTCAAAATCAGAGCACCAAACCCGTTGGTGAATAACCGGGACCCCGAGGTACTTACCAATATAGTCAACAACTTTGAATCCCAAGGAGGAGCTGTTTTGGTCGCTCTCTTCTATGGGAATATTTAGTGAAAAATATAGTTGGGTTTTTGTTTACTAACCCGATGACTCGAGTATCTGTCTAATCCCGTCAAAACAAAGTTGATGGAAGCTGCATTATGCATGTCTGCTGGAGCATAAAGGATGAGGTCATTCGCGAAGAATAAGTGAGAGAGCGGAATACCTTGTCTTGAGAAGCGAAAAGGCGACCAAGTTTCAGAATTAACCGATTTCATGATGTGGCTTAGTCTTTCCATGGAAAGCACAAAGAGATAAGGGGAGAGAGGATCCCCTTGACGGATACCTCTTTCCGGGTTAAAAGACTCCGAATTACTCTCATTCCATTGGACTTGAAAAGAGGAGGAAGTAATGCAAGTCATGATAATATGAATAAGACCTCTCGAAAGATTAGTTGAGACTAGAGTATCATAGATAAAGTCCAATTAGATGCGGTCAAAAGTTTTTTCCAAATCGACTTTAATAGCCGTCCACCTAAGTTTAGAATTAGTCGTCCGCATCGAATATATGACCTCCTGGTTAATGAAAATGTTATATGTGATATTTTACCTCAATATAAAGTTGGTTTGATTAGGTGCGACAAGAAGGGGCATTAACGGTTAGAGTCTTCTGACTATAGTCTTTGTGAGCAATTTATAGATGACGGAACAGAGGCTGATAGGACGAAATTCGGAGAATTGTTTCGGATTTTTTACTTTTGGAATGAGGACAATAATCGTCCTATTGAGATCAGCTTCGAGAGCATTTCCGGAGAAGATCCCACGAATTGTATTGCAAATAGATAGACCAACAATGTTCCAATATTTTTGGTAAAACTCAACATGAATACCATCAATCCCCGAGGCCTTTAAAGGGGCCATGTCCATCAAAGCATCGTGAATTTCCTCATTTGAAGGGGGAGTCAAAACCATTAAGAGGAATAGAAGATGTGCAGAAAAGCACCCGCAATTTCGGACAATGATCATTCGAAAAGAGCTTTTTAAAATACTGGTAGCTTTCTCTTTGAGCATAGTATCATCATGTGGAAATCTCACGTGCGGCAGCCTAATATACGGTTAAAGAAAGATATTATCGGGTTTGTTATTATTTTTTTAATAAAATTGATAAAAAATTACCGGAAATATTATTATTTCTACCGGAAATGTTATTATTGGGTGCTTTAACATATTTTGTAATATATTTGGTAGAAAAAAAATAATGTTTTAGATAGCGCTTTATCTGATATATTACTAAACTCGATAAAGCACCTAATAACATTTCCAGTAGAAATAATAATATTTTAGGTAATTTTTTTTATCGAAAATGTTAAAAAAAATAACAAAATTGATATCGCATTTCCTTAACCGTATATTAAGGTTGTCGTACGTTAGAACTTCCAATCATCATGACACCATTCTCTATCATGAATTTTTTGAGCATGAATACAATTTTTCTGCTTGCGGAGAGTAGGGTTGTATTCAATTCGGATCAGTTTCGTTTTCATTAAAATGTTAATCGAACCGCATTTTACGGATTTTTAAAAATAGGAACTGAAATTGAAAGACATAAAAATCACGGTTTTCGAGTCCGTTTGATTTGACATTTTTTACTATTTATTATTTTTTAAACTCAACCTAAGAAAACAAAATTTAAAACTTAAATCGAGGGCAAATATATGAATTGAATTGCACATTTATGTTTTTAAACCGAAGCTGAATCACAAATTAAAAAAAATAAATTGAACTGAACCAAATAATTTAGTTTGGATTGATTTTTTGATTTTCTAGGTTTCATTACTCAGCCCTAGCGGAGAGTAGCTTTGCTTTGAAAATAAGAAGTATTTTGGTCTCCTAAATTAATCCAATCTGAGCATGATTTCTAGCGCCAAAACAATTCCTCTTGGTCAAGGAGAGATTCAAGTTCTAGGAGCAGATTTAATTCAAGTTGAACAAGGAAGTTAGATGGTCGGATGCCCAAAGCTTTTTGGACACCCATTAAGCGTGCCATAGTGTGGCGTTTTTTTTTTTGGAGCCTATGGAGCCAAAAACAGTTTAATTCCAATCCTCCGCTATCGATGAGAAAGAAGCTATAGTTATAGAAAGGCTTTTAGAAGGAACCCAATTCTCAATGATCAAGCGCCGAAAGTCATCATGCAACCGCCATCCCAAGAAATATTTGGAAGGCGGGTAGAAAGCACCGGAAGGGTTATCACCAACACGAAGAAGAAGAGGTCGATGATCTGACCTCATTCTTAATAAGTGTTGGACGCTAGAAATCAGGAAAGCCTCATCCCAATAAGAGTTACAAAAGAAACGATCAAGGCGAGCTTGTGCCGAACCTCTAGACCAAGTGGAATTTGGTCCATAAATACCCCATATCCCAAAGGCCGAAATCGAACAGGAGGTCCCGAAAAGCAGTGTTGGGTTTGAAAGAAACTGCACAACCCATTCGGTCATAGACAACGTAGCATTGAAATCTCCAAAAAATACCCATTGAGTGAAAATATTCGCAGTAAGATTGCAAATGTTGGACCAAAAGCTTTTCCTTTTTGTAGCGTTTGGACTTGCGTAAACGAGAGTACCCATGGAGGAGCTGTTGTCAGCAGTGCATCGAATCCGAAAATGAAGGAACTGAAAGTGTTTACACAAGATTTTGCACAGTGACAATCAAACCAGCAAATCTATAAACCACCAGAGAAACATGCAGCTTCAATACGGTGGGAATGGGGGAAACCCAAAGCAGCTATGAAGGAATAAACTTTAAAGCCACTTATGCGAGGCTCAACAAAACCAACCACATCAAACAAACTTAAGCATTGATGGGCGAGGTCAATTCAACAACCTGATTAATGTTCATCTCAGTGATGGTGTCATTCGTTGGATTTTCACTAAGAGTGCCAGAATGTGGAAAACCCTGGGCAGTGTTATCGGAAGGGTCATTCAAATGGGGGTTGTGATCATTCACTTGGGGGCTATGAGCAGCCGTACTCGGGTGACAGCGGAGCATTGGGTCTTCGACCACATTAGGATCGTCATTTTCAGAAATAACAATGACCGAGTGCTAGGTTCTATCAAGCCTAGGCGTGGGTTGAGTGATACTAGATGTGGAATTGGAGCGAAGGTTTTGGTTATTGAAGACCACCGCTAAGGATTTGCGAACAGGGACGACCGACTTATTTTTTTTGAAGGCTTCACTACAACAAAACAGGTATATAGCGGCGTTTATAGCGACGTTTATAGCGGCGTTTGTCGCGACATTTCCAAAGCAAACGCCACTAAATTTATACATATCCCGGCGTTTAAATCCAAAACGCCATGAAATGATAACATTAACGGCATTTTTCCATAAACGCAGGTAAAACTCGTACTTTAGCGGCGTTTATTTCACAAACACCGCTATATATAAGTACTTTAGTGGTGTTTTTAAACAAACACCGTCACAGATTCCTACTTTAGTGGCATTTCTAAAGAAACGCCGCAAAGGAATCGTTCATTAGAGACATTTTTAAACAAATGCCGCAATAGGGTACATATTTTGTGGCGTTTTTAGACAAATACCGCTACAACCTAGTACTTTAGTGGCGTTTCTAGCAAAAGAATCGTTCTTTAGTGGCGTTTTTGAAACAAATGCCGCAATAGTTTAGAACGTTTGTGGCATTTTTTAAAAACGCCACAATATATTGAACTGTTAGTGGCGTTTATTAGAAAATGCCGTGATAGTTTGTTCTATAATGACGTTTGGTTTTAAAAACACCATAAAGTTTTATAAAAAAATCTTCCAATTTTTCTCCTGCTCGATCCTTAATTTATTTTTATCATATTCTTTAACCTAAGTTCTTGCTCTATCCTTAGCTTTGCATCTTCATCAAATCGGGGCAACGGTCGCCACCAGTCACGCCGTCGGTCACCACCGTCGCACCATCAGTTACTGTTGTTCTACCCTAAGAAGAAAAGCTTGAAAGAGTTTCTCATGTAATGTGGATAAATATAAACATTTGAGACATTTTTTCCCTTTTGTCTCGGTTTCCCTTGCTTATTTTTCCAATCTTGTTGTTTTGTGATAACCGTCATTTTGTTATCAAAATAATTTCGGCTTCTTAATTAAATAGAAAGGAAAATGTAGTATAGAGAAGCAATGTCGATCCACAGAGACTATGTTTTTGTGATTTAGTAAAACTGTTTCTTAATTTTAGGAAAATATAGAATTCCAGGTGAAGTTAAAAAGATATAATATAATAAAATAAAATAAATAATAATAAATAAAAGGGAAATAATAAAATAATAAATAGTAATAGTAATAAATATAAATATAAATATAAAAAGGGGTTTTAAATTATTTAAAGAAGTATAATGAGATAAAAATTAAATAAACAAATAAATAAAATAAATAAATTGGGATAAAGAAAACTTATAGTGAAAACAGCCTCAGACTTCAGCTTCGTCTCAAATTCCTCGGATCATCAAAACAGATTTTTACTTCAAGATTCTCGTCGGCTTACAAGTACAATTCTTCGTTGCCAACTCATATTGTGTCGTTTCAACAATAACTGATTCCGATCTCAGTTTCCTTTTAGCAAACAATTTTACTAAGTGTGTTCTCGGGAAGTTGAATATGCTTAAATAAGAAAATCCTTCTTCAAACGTTAACCATAACAATAACTGGACCAATGTCGAAATCGTTTTGATTTGAAAAGTAAGCTCAGAAAACAGAGAGAAAATTTGAAGCGATTTAAGTACCTTACAATTCTCACATTTGAAATTGAGCATTCGCTTCAGTTTTCGGCTTGAAAGAAAATTAGCTAAGCATGATCAATGTCATACTTAGCATAATTGAAAACAAAATTCTAAAAGAAAATAGGAGAAGTTGGCGCAAAATAGAGAGAAAGCCAGAGAGAAAAAGATGATTTAATTCTCAAAAGTGAGAGATATCTTTCTAGGCTCACCCTTTGAGGGTATTTATAGTCTTCAAATTCCTAAAAATAAGCTAAAAATAATTCCTAAAATAATAACATAAATCCAAATTAAAACTCTTAAAACTATTTAAACTAAAATACCTAAAACAAATATAAAATAAAATACTATTTAAAATAATATCCTAAAACCTAATTGAAATAAAAACTTATTTAAACTAAAATACAAAGATAAAATATAATGTTTAAAATATTATCCTAAACTTGAGTTTAATCCAAATCCGAATTCCAGAAACGTGCGGTTTAATCCATTCGTGCTTCTAGAAACACTGACTGGATCTTCTAGAAGGTGCCGACATCATTGCCTCATCGGATGTTTCATGTCCGAATTCATGCCCACTAGTCCAGCTTTGATTCCAAAAATAAAAAAAACTGCATAATTCTTTCCTTTTAGTGCAATTTCCAGAATCTGACGTTCTGCACAGAAAATGAATCAAAATGAACAAATAAGCCACAAAAACCAATGATTAATGAGTAATTAAAGAGCAAAATGTTAACTAAATTAATCACTTATCAAATTCCCCCTCACTTATTCAATGCTTATCGTCAAGCATTCATCAATTAACATATCAAAATCATAAGTTGTCATCTTCAATTTCAATTTATTCCTCAAACTTCCAATCGAACTAATTTCATGATATTTGTCGAATTCAAGTTACAATCAAGCAAATATACAACCAAGAAAATTTAAAGTAAGCAAGATGTCACAATTAATTGCCAACTTCAATGAAACATAACTCAATACTTCACAAAGATTCACACATATCCGCTCAAATTGTTTGAGGTAAATGAAACAGCTCAAACCGAAACTAACCAAAATATTACCATAGGCTTGGAATCCAATCAAGTCTCAACTACAAAAAATGAACATAATGCAAAAATCAAGGGGTCTTTAAACAAGGTGTAACGGGGCTTAGGTTAGGGTAGGGAAAAGGAAAAGAAATGTTTAAAATACCGAAACAAGAGATCAAAATAATTAAGAACAATCAACGAATTAACATGAAGCGCAATGAAGATCAAAACAAGGGGAAAAAATAGATGAAAGATAATTGAAACGATCGATTTTTCCTTCCTTTTTTTTCCGAACAAGGGTTTTTTTTTTCTGTTGTTCGAAACAGTGAACAACTTGCTATTTTTTTTTTGATTTTTTCGAAACAGTGATTTTTTTCTTTTTTTTCTTTATTCATGGAACTAGAGTGATACAAGATCTCAAGTCTCGGCAAGGGTGTGAAAAGAGAAGAAAAATAAAAAGAAAGGCTTCGGGTTTAATTATGAGGTGTAAAACAAAGAAAGAGAAATAGACTCAAATTTGGTTCACTAGTGGATATATAAACATGTAGGCTTTTTGGGAAAAGTGGGTTTATCATAGGTGCCCCTATCACATTAAAACATTACGTTCAACATGTAGTCTCGATATGCATTGTGATTACAAGTTCTAGAATATCCTAATTAGTTCGGTACACACAAGTCAAACAATGAGCAAGAAAGAAAATGTATGCTCGTTAGGCCCAAATCTCACAAGAAAAGTTTATGTGCATTAAGTCAAGTTCATCTCTATCGACAAAAGCATGAAATATCAATACTCAACAAAAATTCACTGGCTATATCAATCACCAATCATGCAAATTAAATTCGATCAAAAACATGGTCATAATCCAAAATGAAACAAGAGTATAAAGAGAAATTCAAGACTAGCAACCAACGATCCCAATATATCTACATCATAATAACTCAATTTCAAACAATTAAACAAATCAAGGAAAATTTTGACAACATGTTTTTCCTTCCCCCTCACTTATTTCGTTTTTCCGACCCGGTTGACCCGACCTGCCGACCCGTCGACCCGGATCTAAAAAAACCGGGTAATTCTCTAAAAAATATTACCCGGTCGGGTCGGGTACCCGGCCCGATATTTCCCGGGTCGGGCCCGGGTCACAAAATCTAGTTTTTTCGGGTACCCGGTTACCCGAGTACCCGGTTAGTTTTTATTTTATTTTTATTTTTTTATATATAATTATATAAAATATAATGAATTATTTATATTATGATTATTATATTTTATATTTCAAACTTTTAAATTTTATGTTCGGATATTAGAGTATGTAATTCGAAGTTTCGAACATTTAAATTTGTGTATATATTTTTTAAAATTAATAATTTGAAAATAAAAAATTAAAAACCGGGTATCGGGTACCCGATTATCGGGTACCCGTAAAATCCGGGTACCCGATTACCAGGTACCCGTAACATCCGGGTCGGGACACGGGCCGAGAAATTGTCGACCTGGAAGTTTCGGGTACCCGGAAATTGGGTACCTGAAAATTCGGGTACTCGGATTTGCATACCCCTAGCGACCGCGACCGCGTCGAGACGAGCTGTTGTAGAGTAGAATGTCTGATACTGCACTGTTATGTTCGAACTTTTCTGTACAGTTTAAACCAAATCTGTATTTTTTGCAATGTTTTTTTCTGCACTGCATTGTTCGAATATGTTGTGTATTTTTCTGCACTGTTCGAACCAAATCATTTTTTTCTGCACTGTTATGTTTGAATTTTTCTGCACAGTTCGAACCAAGTCAGTTTTTCTGCACTGTTTTTTTCGTTAAATATTCAATCGAAATTCAGATATGTTCAGAGAAAAATAAAATTACTCAAAAATAAAATAAATAGAATGAATAAAGTTCGCTAAAAATAAAACGAAAATTAAAACAAAAATATAACGAAATGGGTTGCCTCCCATCAAGAGCTTTTGTTTAACGTCGTTAGCTCGACGACCTGATTCAAACTATAGGTTTCGAGAGAAATACTTCCTCCACTTCATACGCTTTTTCCAACTAAGAACTTCCTTATGAGAAATCCTACGATCGTATAATTCTTTTATTTTTTTTCTTGTAGATTTTGGCTTTCTCATAGGCTTTTCTTTGGATCTTTTTTAGCTTTGAAAGCTTATCCGAAATAATAACCGGTGAAGTAGAATGTTCTCCTAAAAAGCCATTCTTTAAGTGTTTCGACATTTGTTTCAATTCTACCTTAGGTGC